GGCGGGGTGGAGGAGGGGGGGTGGGGAGGTGCTGTGGGGACACAGAGAGAGAGAGAGGTGAAGTCAGTATTCAGGAATGCGCCTGGGCAAGCCTCGGGTTGACAGAGCCCAGATGACTGAGGGAATCCTTGGCAGAGGGAAGCCGGGGAACCCCGTTCAACACCTCCAGCCTTTTCCCTCCCTCCCTCCCTCTCTCTCTCTTTTTCCTTCCCTCTCTCTCTCTCTTTCCCCTTTCGTCTGCCTTGTCCTTTCAGTCAGTCCATCTTTGTCTCCAGCACTGGAGTCGCAGCCAGCCTGTCTGCCATAAAAACATTATACAACCAGGGAGGCACAGTAATGGGGAAACAGGCTTATGTCAGACTGGTGGAGCATGGAAAACAGCAGAACCCACTTCTCCACATTTCTGCTGCTGCTGCTGGCAGAGTGCAGCCAAAAGTCCCCCGTGAGTTCAACCGTGTCCAACCTGAACTCTGAAAACCCTCCAGACAGCAAGTTTGAAAAAGCCATTCACAATGACTCATCAGCTATTCTTACACAGGCTGAGGGTGGTCATTCGAGGAGTCGAAAGACGGCCTCTGCACAAGGGTCAGTCTTCCCAAGAGGGTTGTTTTCTAATAGATTATGCAAAACTAATAATATTCAGCAGCTCATGTGCGGGTTTGACTGAGGTATTGTCAAATCAAAGTGGGTTTTTTGCATATTACAGCTTGTTGCACTGCAACAATCCGTTTCGCTTCCCCTGGTTTTATTACAAGAAAATGATTCCTCCTGAAGTTATCAAACAACTTTTTGTCAAGACCATTCTAAAAATACATTTTGAAGCCGTCGAGAAGTCATGATGTGAATTAATTTCTCTTTCCGCCAGTGGCATGTGTAATGTGAGTGGTTGGCTGGAGGGGTTTTTGTTTTTGGAAGGAGGCTGCGGGCTCACGTCATGGCCCTTCCTCTTTCCAGCCCCTCTCTCCACAGGTTCACGTTTGATACTCGTGTAGTGCGGTATGGTCAAAACATGCAGAGAAACACGAGGTTTCCACTGCTTCAAGACGAAAACCCAACTTTTCCAGGAAGAAATCAAACCAATGGTTTGATGGCGGAGAAATACCCGAAATCGAGCAGAAAATTAGCAGATAGATGTATGTTGCTGGTTACATTGGACCTGTTTGGCCATGGCTCTGCGTTGGACTTGATGAAGATCTGACAAATGCAGTGACTAAGCACGCCTGTGTCTCATTGTGGTGACACTGATCAACAGTACTTGTCAATTGGAATGTTTTTAGAATATGACTGATGTGTTTTCTACTCACACCCGTGACTCATGTGTGGTGGGTGTTGTGTTCTGGTAATCAAATCAGAGTGGATAAGATGCTCAGCTTGTCTCAAAATGCCAAAAAACACAGCTTTTCTTTTGAAGTGACAAATGACAAGATGATGTGAAAGAAAAGAGCAACGTGCTGGGATTCTTGGGTCTCTTTTTGTGGGAGCTTACCCACATACTGATGCAAATAAAGGGGAGGGGGTTTAGTGCTCTGATGGCTGTGACTGAGAAATAAACTCCAACAGTTTAGAGTCTAAGGCTGCAGCATGAATGTCAATGACATTACCTAGTGTGGCCTGGACAAGCGAACAAAGGTTACCTTTATTCTCAAAGCCACCTCAGATAAGGCTCCAGCTATTTATTTATTTTCATTGTTTAATCTTTTAATTATTTTCTCAATTATTTAATAATGAAGCAGTATTCCCGGAGCCCAATGTGATGTCTTAAAATTGTTTTTTTTCCAACTAACAATCCAAACTAAAAGATATTTATTTTACACTGATATAAAACTGAAAATTCTGCAGATTTTCACATCTATCTACCAAACACTTCAGCACTACTCCCTGGTTTGTTTGCATGCATGTTAAGACTACAGTACAGTACCTGCAATAAAATAAAACCTTGGCAATTTCATAGTGATTTATTTAAAAAAATAAAGTGAGTAATATGGGACTGAGAGCTGAAACAATTAGTCTATTACTCACTTAGTTGATCAACAGAAAGATGGCAATTTTTTTGATAATCAGTTTATTGTTCCAATAAATTTTTTGTGCAAAAATGCCCAATCTTCACTACTTCCTGTCTCTCATTTCAATATTTTTCAGTTTTTTTTATGATATTAAACAAAATTTTTGTCTTTCTTTTGGCCAGTTTGTCAGACAAAACAAGCTATTTGAACACAGCTTGTATGTTTTCTCACATTTTATGGACCAAATGATTAATTGAGAAAATAATCTGTTGCATCAATAAAAGTGATGATGGGTTGATGATAATTTACTGGTATTCATTGTGAAGAGACACACTCCATCCACTTCACCCTAGATATATTGAGTCCCATCTTACAGGTGATTTGAAAGCATTTATGGGTGGTGATTTCAGCTAACCTTTACAAGAGCAGAAGATGAGCAATCAAACTGGTGTCAAAGTCGTTGGTTAGGTCTTATGAAGCTGATTGTTATTACAGCATACACCATTTTTCCTGAGAGTCATCATGCAGCGTTAATACTGTAGGCCTGAAGCTATATTAAAAGCACTAAGAAGAGTTGAGAATCCATAAAGGATCAGTTGGATTGGTAGTTATTCATCATTTTATCATCATAACCAAGCAGAATGATTCTGCAGAGTCATTTGTACGTGTCCATGCATCTCAAAGTCAGACTGAGTTAATCAAATGTATTAACTGCTCTTTGTCTTTCTCTTCCACCTTCCTCCCCCACCCTCTCCACTCTCTCCGGCCCCGCCAACTTGATTCCTTTACAACCGCCGTGGTGTGACATCCACAGAGCTCCCAGCTGAAGAAGGTAAATATTGATTTTTCCAGTGAGCTGTGATCCTCCTCCCTTTGCTACCTGATTAAGTGTCTTGAGTCAGGATCCTTTCTTCTCTGTAGACTGAGGGCTAAACTTTGGGAGTGTACACTACTGCACTTTTCCAACCATAGTCACACACCACTACTCTTCTGTAAATACAGGGAATGTTTATCTTTACCATCGCTTATCAGTACTATGAAACTAATGTCATCTTATAGATGTTAAGTATAATGGCACACTTTGAGCCTCACAGTAGAAGCCACAGACGTTAAATTGAGTGTGATGCATAAAGGTGTGTGACGTGTATTTGTCTATTTCAGGGAAGTCCCTGTGGGAGCTGGTGGTGGAGCAGTTTGAGGACCTCCTGGTCAGGATCCTGCTGCTAGCTGCTTGTGTCTCCTTTGTAAGTACGACCCAGATAATTAAAATGCCAGTGGCCTTCATCTTATTTGTTCTTGATCTTGATTCTCAAATGTACCCCTGTGGGATTTGAGACCTAAATTGGACATTGGCCAGGAAATTGCCACCTAATAAGACTGCTCCGTTAGCTTTAGGCTGCTTTATTCCCCTGTTAGAACACTGCTCAACCTAGTTAGTGGTCTCCTTTCATGTGGAAACAAGTGTATTACAGGCTTTTCCATTCAGTGTTGATATGGTTTCAGCAAGGGGAACAGGCAGAGTATTTCTGCCGAACTGGAAACAAAACTATCAATCAAAACTCCCTCTGCTGCAGTGTCTCAAACTGTGACCCCGGTTGCAGTCAGAGGGTGGTGAAGGTCGGAGAGGGGTGGAGCAGGGGGAATCCTGACTGCATAATAACTTTTTTCCATCTATTACTGCACGTCCCCGGTGTCTCGGGATGGAATTGCTGTTGCTATTTCTGAAAGTAGGAAAATTGCTCTAAAAATGTATATGACACAATATATCTTCCCTAACTGTTGTCGTGTTAGTGAGAGGCTCTCGGAGCAGGCGTGGGTTGTAACTGCAGGACTCTGGAGCGTGGGCTCACTTTTCCTCATGTAAATCAGGCTTTCCTAACTTTAAAAAGGTTGTTTATAGTGGAACACGGCCCCTGTTCCATAGCCGCACAGACCCTCATGCTTTACAATGTCATCGTTGCCTGGAGAGGTTTCAGCCTAACTAATGTGAGGTTCCTTGTGACTCAAAATCACAAATATATTACAGTCAAGAGCAGCTTGTCTTAATCACGCACATTTGCAGAGCTTGTCTGTTGATAAATGATATTTCTTTAGTCCTCCTTGAACCTATTTGCTTACAATTTTGTATGTCACCAGTATAAACTGGAGTGAAAGTTAAACTATAGCCTGGGACTCATTTGGCTGATCTTTTGAATATATTCAAACTGAGATGATTAGACTCTCCTGCCTCTTTTGCATGGCACAAGACTGAAGCTTATCATCAGACAAAACAGGGAAGGGTAGGCTACTTTATAATATATGTACATATGACAACAAATTTACAGCAAAAAAAGCAAAGCACATTGTTTATGAATTAAATCCAGCGAGCTATAGCCTGAACTGCGCCTTAGCTGAGACCATTTTATTATTTATTTTTTATAATTTGTCTGTTTTGTTGAGGCTACAAGCTGATAGTGAGCCGGCTCTCTGGTAGGGGTTTAATAGAGCAGAGCCCCACACAGAAAGCCACACTAGCCACCTGAAACAATCAGTGTACTTCCTCCCTTTCAGCTGAAGGAAGAGAAAGGGCTGATCTTTTATTTGGTTTTCCACATCACTACATCAAGTTGAGCTAGTGTTGGGCAGGTCAAGAGAGTACAGGAAGGGCCTTAAAAAGTCAAGTGACAGTTGAATTGGTTTTTTAAGCCTCCTGTGTTTACATCACATTTTTTAATAGGTGACCTTAGGAGTGTTTCTTCTGATGAATTTGATATGAATAAAATGTGTTTTTCCATTTTGCCGAGCGCCGTGTGATGTTCCAAAACTCTGGAGACGTTCAGATATAATGGGCCATCTGTCGGCATGTGTCTCAGCGTTCAGTTATGCATGTGGGGTGTGAGGAGTGCAGTGTTTAAAGCTGTAAGGAGAGGTTTATTTTGGTGATGAAGCTTTGATTTCAAAACCCAACGTTGAATCTGAGCCTAATTTTGCATCAGATTGCCAAATGCGAGCAGTTAAATTTCCCCCAGATTCTCTCCATTTGAACTCCTATTCAGCAAGAAAGTAGGAGTTAGGTATTCAAACCCCTCTCTGAATGTGCACTGATTGTGTGAAGTGTCTTTTGAGTCGTCCTCACTGAGAGGACTGCCATTGTTGCCCTCCAATCTCGGCCCCGTCAGAAGGGAGATTTACCGTCCCAAATGATGTGGAATGATGAGCTATCGACCAGGCTCAGGCTGCTGAGACGTACACTCCGGTGCTCAATACTCTGCAGAGAATATACTCTTTTATCATTTGATAAGCCCCATCAGATCATGGAAAAGTAGATCCACTTTATCTCCCCTTCTCTCTCTGCTGCCTTTGTTGTGCAGCAATTTTAGCTGTTATTGATAAAATAATGGAAACATAAATATGAAGTCATTTCTGTGTTGCAGTGGGGAGCTTTTTCTGTTGTAATCTCCTAAAAATGTACTTCAGTGCTTATTATAGCATTATAGCATTATAGCATTAAGTAACTAACTGTTATAACTATATCTGGCCATAGAAGATGGGGAAGTATAGTTACATAATAGTAATTGCACAGTATATTTGTTGATCTCTGAGGAGATGTTCATTTGTAACCAGTTCTTTTTAATTTAATAAAGCAATTGCATTCATTTATATGTTTATTGTAGGTTTATTCCACCTCTGAGGTACTTTTTGAGGCATGACAGCTGTAATCACCTTTTTTATATTAACAATTGATCACATGACTACCTGTAACTGAAACTGTACAGTAAGCAGCTGCTTTCTGAATAAAATCTCTAAAAACCGACTGTACGCTGCCTGCCCAGAACCTAAAGTTAGCAAAGGTTAGCAATAGGAAGTTAGCAACTAACTACTGAACATAGTGGAGAACTTAGCAGATAGTGGGCCAGATATGTTTCTCAGAAGTTCACAAAAACAAAGCTTCAACAGGAAGGTGAAAATTGGACTTCATTGGAAACTCGACTCCAGATGAATGCTAATGTTGCTTTGTATTCTGCTCAATGTGAAAAGAAGTAATGTTTTCTAGCACCCTAACCCTAACTATATTAATGTTAATATGTCTTGTTGTTTAACAGCTTGTTTCTTCTGCCCTCAAGTGGCCAAAATGTTATTGCAGGTTTAGTTCTTGTGTGGTCAATTAACCTCATAATTTGACTATGACATTAGTGAGTTGGTTCAATTATCACTACTAGATTGACGTCTCTCAGATCAAAAATAAAAAGGGAGTGATTGTTGTGCTTTGAGTTTATAATGCCATAATAGGCATGAACAGCTGATCAAGTAAATTGTTTTCATTCTGCGTTGCAGAATAAAAGAGGAATGACTAGATCACTTGAACAGAATGATCACTTCAGATTAGTTTAAGCACTTAAGATGTACATAGTAAGATTTTACGTAATTATTTAATTAATGATTTTTTTTTTTTTAAAGCAGATTTCAGTCTCGCAGTTTTAGCTGTTGACTGTCTTGTCATTCAACCCACTCAAGCCTCATGTTCTGGTACACAGTCATCCGAAAAGACACTGCACCATAGAAAGAAGTAGATCCCACAAATCCTTATGTAAATGTTAATTTGCGTGTGATTTTCCTACAATCCAAGGGCTTGGGTGTACTGGGTCTAAACCGTACTACAAAATGCACTACTGCAAAACTGGGCTTCGTAATAATGAAAGTGTTTAAAATTAGTCCAGTTCCAGTGTAATCCCAATGATTTTATTTCCCCAATGATCTAATTTCCTGCAGGATTTAATTTATTTTTATTGCCCTTGTCATTTTAGGCATCGTCCTGCTGCTCTAGGCTATCCAACATATGAGGGTTTCGTCATTACATTTAGCGTTTATATGAGAGTATTTGTTTTTTTGAGACTCTATTATATTCAGTTTATGTATTTATAATGTTGTTTTTAAAGCACACCCTTCATTTGTTTTAATTTAGTGTCAAGTAGAGTTTCAATGAACTTAAAAAAAACCTAAAATGAATGACACAGTGTATTGAGTGGAGAGAGAAATGGATATGAGACTAATTAGGACTGCATCATTTAGACTAATTATATTTGTTTTGAATGTCCACAGTCACTGTTAGAAGGACAAACCAGCTTTTCCTGCTCGGTGTGAGAAATGTTAGTTTTTCTTGTGTTGTCACTGCGCTCTGCAGTATCTTGCCTTTGCAGTCACTTCCAGCCTGAAATGTGTGCAGCCTGCAGAGGCACAGGCCTGGACCCTCTGGCCATTTACAAGCCTTTCTGTTTCGAGTGCTAGTGTTATGAAAAGAGCAGGCTATAAGTGGATCTCTCCTGATTTCAGCTACACTTTATCACCTGCTCTTGGCTGTGGAGGTCAGAGGTTTACTGCAGTCTATAGACCAGCCATTCATAACCAGAGTTACTCGTACCACAGTACTTTGGCAGTGGCCAGCGGGTACACAGGAAGATTCTAGAGCAGCTCAACTAATTTGAAAAAAACAAACAAGCTAAAATTACAATTTAAATTTAGAAAATATATCTACATGCTGTATTGATTCATCTTAAATTGAAATAGATAGCTGAAAGTTATTCTTGAATTGTTGAAACAGTTAAAAATAATGAATAAATAGTTGAACTTATTAACCAAAAGTAATGCATAAATAGTTGAAATAGATAATAAGCTATTGGATAAATGGTTGGAATAGTTAGCTAAAAGTAGGCTAATGTTAGTGGATAAATAATTAACCAAAAGTAATGTAGAAATACTTTAAATAATTACCTAAAAGTAAGCTAATTGATAAATGGTTGAAATAATTAGCTAAAAGTTGGCTAATGTATAAATGGTTTAACTTATTAACCAAAGATAATTGATAAATGAATTAAATAAATGGTCAATGGATATATTGTTTAAATAGGTAACCTTAGCTAATAGTAATGGATGAAAGAGAAATAGTTAGCTAAAAGTAACTAAAATCACTCAAAGTCATATTATGACTAGTAGTAGTTGTACAAGGGGTATTGAGTTCTATCTGTGTAGTCTGTAGGAGTACAAGGTGGGAACCATTAAAGATAACACTGGAACTGAGCTGCAGCTCAGTTTGGCTTTGTTTTTCCATATTTTTCAAGCATTTTTCCTCCCAAACATGTTTCAGAGCAAGCTGTTACTGAAAATGTATATAATTGAGTCAACATGTGTATGTTCATCTAGGTGTTGGCTCTGTTTGAGGAAGGAGAGGAGACAACCACCGCCTTTGTTGAGCCAGTTGTCATTCTTCTTATCCTTATCGCCAACGCTGTTATCGGGGTCTGGCAGGTGAGATACACTCTTCATCCTGTGTCTCTGTGTAAAGTGTATACATACACATGAGTAATGTTTCTTTCCACAAGGTGTTCACCTGGTTACAGAGACTAACGATGCCGAAGAGGACAGTAAAGTCAAAACATTTTATCCTGTCCGCCAGCTGTTGCAGGATACATGGATTCACCTTTAGTGTCTTGTTATCTGTGTGCTCTATTCAAACTGACACAATGAGTTAACATCTGTACATCCAAATGGCACATTGCAATAGGATGAGGCTGTCGACGCCGGAGAACGTTAGTCTGTGCGTCAAGTCGAAGCATAAACAAACCAGGGAGCTCATGCAAAATGCCCTCTTGGTTCATTTGTGTTGACAAGGAAGCAGGAATTTTAGATGCAAGCGTCCAAAATAGAGATGGGGAGACCATCAGCAATTTGGGAAAGAAGGCATGTTGCCCTGCTCTGTTGGGACACAGTGTAACAAATCAACATAAGCGACTTTTCTCTTTTAGTGTGTTTGCCTTGTGACAGAATAACCTGTTAATGCAAGAAAACATTGAATACAATTTATTCTAAAAACATGAATTTACCAAGAAGTTAAAAAATTATCCGTGTCCTTTTCCTGGCATGACTTTCTCTTTCTGACATCTCTCTACACAGGAGCGAAATGCTGAAAATGCCATTGAGGCTCTGAAAGAGTATGAACCAGAGATGGGAAAGGTGTACCGCATGAACCGCAAGGCTGTCCAGAGGATCAAAGCCAGAGACATCGTCCCAGGAGACATAGTGGAGGTTGCAGGTAAGCCGTGGCGGCACCCAGCGAAAGTCTAACTGTCACTCAATGAGGCTAATTTATGCTTTGTCTACCTCCAGAGGACTCTCACTGCTGTCACCTAGCTGCCTGTATGCTACCATTACTGCCGACATGCACAGAAACAAGCTCACACAGCTTTTGCCACCCATTCATGAGTCTGGAAACACTATTGGAATATCTCAAACTCGATTACATAAGAGTCTTTTCTCTGGGTGTGCAGGTGCCAGGGCTGCTACCCAGTTGTGTCTGTTTATGTGTGTGTGTGAGGTTCTGTGTAAGTGGCTGTGGTCTCTCCTTGTATTTAAGGCCCAGTTTGATTTTCCACAGCTTTTCCCCTTTTCCCTTTGCTTTCCATGCTCTCAGTCTCACCACCTGGACGCTGCTGGATGTTTGTCAGCTCCTCACTCACACTCCCCCACGTTACATGCACATACACACAATTCCCCTGCTGTAAACTCGCCCATGTGTGGGCAGCCTCGTCTAAAAATAGTCTTGTTGTCACTCTGGTTCCAGAACATCTGTGTATGCCAGAGTTGATGTGCGAGCGCACACACATGCAGCACCAAGGAGATCACTTCACCATCAACATGACCGGTTCTGAGAGGGTAATCCTCGGCTTTGTGGGGCTAATGATTCGTCTGAGACGGCTCGGAGTGATGTGTGGGAAAGAAGGGAAAGCTCAGGGTGTGTGTGTGTCTGTCTGT